TGGCTGTCTGGCCCCCCCCACCCCTCTACTCACGCCCTGCAGGAAGAACCCCAAGATCCTTCGCTTTCCAATGGGCTGGGTGCTGCAACAGGCACAGCCGCGCTGTCCCCCACTCCGGCAGCGAGTGCTGCTTTGTCGAGCACCCCCCGCCCCCCCTCCCTGTCCCCGGAGCGGTGACGGGTCTGTCCCTGGAGTGGATCCCTCAGGCCAGCTAGCTCTCCGTGCAGAGGTTCCCTGGAAGGGAGAAGGACGGAGGGGCCATTGCACAGGGAGCCTGAGGGGCACCGCTTGTCCCCAGCCCTTGCCCCAACAAACGCGCACGGTCCCGTCGCTGCTGGGGGCACGGCGGGGCGCCAGCGCGGCTCTCACCCAGGATGTTGCGCTTGCAGAGGGGGCAGGTTTGCTGCAGGAGCAGCCAGGGGTCCACGCAGTCCCGGTGAAATTCGTGGGAGCAGGGCAGCACCCGCAGCCACTGCGGGGAGGGAAGCGGGTGGCAGCCGTGAGCGGAACTGGGCAGGGACACCCCGGCCCCGGTGAGCAAGGGGGAGGCACGGCAAAGGGATGGCATGAGCCCAGTTGGCCCCAAGTGGTGAACGGGAAGGGCTCCAGGCCTCCCAGTGCAGCACCAGTCCTCCCCAGTCCCTACCTGGCTCTTGTGGAACTGGTCCAAGCAGACGGCGCAGCTATCTATCTCGCAGGCCTGGCTCCGGAGCGTTTTGCTGGGATGGTACCGCCGGGTTTTCAGCGCCGACAGCCGCCGCCGAATGTGCTGCTTCAGATCCAGCTGGGAAGGCAGAGGGTCAGAGCCTGGCCGCCCAGCGCCCCCAGCCAGGAGCAGAGTGGAGACGTTCCCCACCTCGGCATCCTGCTCCAACGGGTCTTGCCGCGACTGCCGCTGAGCCTGCACGATGACACCGGTGCAGAGGAGCAGGGCGATCAGCAGGATGGCGTTCCACAGCTGCTGTAAGTACTTCTGCCGGAGCAGCGCCGGTGGGCGCTCAGGGACTGGGGCAGCGGGCGAACCGGAGGAGCCCTGCTCTGCTCCCAGCCCCTGCTGCCATCCCAACGCCAGGAACCCCAGCTACGCAAGGAGCCGACCCCGGCACTAGCGCACATACCTGGACCTGCGAGCTGTTCTCCCCCGTGCAGATGACCCCCTGCCACTCCCCGTAGAGGCCCCCTCGGGAGAGACCGCAGGTCGACCACAAGGTGAGGGTCACTCCCTGCGAGGCAGGAGATGCCATTGCCCATGGCCACCCCATGGCCACCACGGCTTGCGGTGCTGCCAGGGCTGGGGGGCCCCACCATGCCGGGGGGATCACACCGCTTGTGGGGGGG